GCTGTAAAATGTCTTGATCGTAACATTACAAACCCCTTAAATCTCCAAACTTAAAGAAGTGATCAGTGTTTTGTAATTTTCTTTCTTGCTCTTTTTTTTTAAGCAGTTTGACATATTCTCATAGGGCCTAGGCTCTTATTTTGAAACCTCAGACAGGAAGGAATCGTGTTAATATTGCGAGTCACGGTCACTTTAATCATCACGTAAATACACACGTGATCGATATTTACTGTCCAGAAATGATCAAATGATCGTACATCGCGGATTATTGATCGTAATGAGATCGTACACATGCGATCAGTGTCGTACATCTGAGAGGAGTTCCAACATACGTCAACTGCAATGGGACATTTTCATCAATGGTGAAATATGTCGTCATCGATTAGTTTGAGCTCATATCGACGTCAGTATCGGGCTAAAATCCAGTATCTGTCAGGTTCTAGTGTTTTGTTGAAATATTATTCTTGTAACTTGAATTCCTTCGAAGTCGATGGTAAATATCCATTTGATCTTTCGGGCTCATAACTCTCATCATGTTGGAGCGGTAGTGGAACAGCTTTGCACAAATACTGACACCGGCACAGTTAACGTCTATTTTTATCTTGTAATCTACAGACAGGTCCAGAAGTCTGACTCCACTTGACCCACTCTATTTCCAGAAATGTATTTGGAACGTACTCGAGCTGAAAATGAAGTGCTCTCCTTTTCCAGATTGTTCAGGTCACACTCTCTGTGCAGTATTTATTTTTCCTTTATCATTTATCAGCTGCGGGTTTACTTCGATCACTGGTAAATAGTAACTTTATACTTTCATCGCTTCTGTGATTCTGTGATTAAAAAGTGAAACAGGACTTGAACTATTTTTGCACTAAGCTCTGCGGAGGAGTCAAGAGCATAAGAGCATGACCCTTTAATCTGAATCTGTACAACACAGTCGACAGTATTCAACCATTCCAGTGAGGCTAAGACCATGGACTCCTGTCGATTTTAATTATCTTGCAATTCTTTGCAAACGTGCTGTGTTATGTGCCATTTTTATTTTTTGTATGTCCAAGAAATATCGAGCGATGGTCACGGTGAAGTAATCTGGGATGGGCTTAAGCTATTTTCATGTTTTTACGATGTATTTTGCGAAGATTCCAGTTAAAATGAACTCTTTGCTCGGTAGCCCCCCCTCCAGGAGAGTCGGTTTACAGGGCAGGAGAGCTGAGGAGTGGAAGCGTGAGCAACCAGCGATGGAAGATACATACGATCGGCGTGCAAATCATTTAGCGTCTTCCCCGGGTCCTCACTCCACAAAGAAATCACTTCAGACCTCCTGCTGTCATACTCGTAACCAACCACAAGGGGCATGTAAACATTAAAAAGCATGTTTTGATATACGAGCTTGCCAAGAATGAAACGTTTTGTACATTTAGCAGGACACTTCACGTGAGGTCCCGTTGCTAGAGAAACCCATAATCGAGTCAACTGCTTGCAAGTTGGAGCCATTATTTGATACTGTGTATTTATATGGATGGAACGTGCATGTCGTCTCGGTGTTACCTCCAGTTTATGATTTCGAGTCGTCGTGAAAAGAGGAGTTTGATCCATTTTGTACTATTTCTTATGAGAAGCGAGTGCACTTCTCCACATGTACAACATGAACGAATAAATGCTGCATGCAGCCAGACCCAACCAACAACACGGTGTCTTTATTGGATCTAATAATCTTGTCTGCTTTGATTCATTCCTCTGCTCTGATTGGCTGGAGGCCTCAAGCGCAGGACTTCCTGCAGATTTAGGGTCTTGAATTTTCATTTTTCGGTGAACTACCCAACAATAAACCCAACAAAGAAGAAGAGGAAGTAAAACTTAAGAACCAGGTGGTTTCATATTTGTTATTTGAAGCTGTCATCTTATTTGCCAGCTGTAAAATATCCTGCTCATTACGTTCGTGACCAAAGTTGGGGAGAATAATGTTTAAAGTATAATTTAAAGAATTATATTAGTAGCTTGACGTACTCTCATATCTTCATGCTAAATATAAAACTAGAGGAGCAGGACGGTAGCTTAGCTTATGCTAATGTAGCAGAGGGAATTAAACGCTGATTATAGTCGTAAACAGCTAGCAAGTAATGTTAGTTGTTTACGACTATAATCAGCATTTAATTCTCGTTTTTGACATTTTCCTCGTGTGTCTCGACCAAACAACACATAACATGTTCATTTGTTGTTTTTGAATTTACCTTTATTAGGATTCACATAAAGACTGATCTATATCTATTTCATTATAATTACAGAACTCAGAGAAAATAAACTTTAATCAGTGCTGGTCGGAAGATTCTGAAATCAAGCTAGCTGTTTTCCTTCTAAGCTAAGCTAACAGTCTCCTGGCCGTCGGCTCTTGTGTAGTTTACAGACACGAGTGTGGCCCAACACACACACAGCAATTCAACAAACTTAACAGAAATACTGTTGAGAATTAAACCTAATAATTGTGAAATATGTCGTTATCGATTAGTTTGAGCTCATATCAACATCAGTATCGGGCTAAAATCCAGTATCAGTCAGATTCTAGTGTTTTGTTTAATTATTATTCTTGTAACTTGAATTTATCTGAAGTCGATGGTAAATATTCATTTGATCTGTTGTTAATCTGTGGATTTAATGGACTCTCATTAAAATCATATTCATGTGTTCATTCAATTCTTACCAAGAAAGTGAATGACTGAATTTAAGTGCAGATTAATTTGATTTAATTTAAAGAATTCTGGGGTTAAAACTCCAAAACTATATAATTCACAAAAAAACTCTTTTCTAACGCCGCTGCTTGTTGACATGTATCTGTCTCCACCTCTCTCGCGTCCAGCGGCCGTTGTTCTGGGCGACCTCGTGCAGCAGGTCCATGAAGGCGTACTCGTTGCCATGCAGCAGCGTTTCGTCATCTGGCGAGGCTCCACCAGGGGGAGCCTTTGAGCCGGTGCTTCTGTTTTCCGCCCCCGCAGCTTGTTTTGATTCTTTCCTCTGCTCTGATTGGCTGGAGACCTTGAGCGCAGGATTTCCTGCAGATTTGGCGTCTTGACTTGGGGTTTTATGACTCGTCCGTCTCGCTGAGGCCGGGTCCTCTCTCTTGAAGTCCGTGTGGACCTGAGTTCTAAAATCTTTCATTTCATTTTGCTCCATTTCTTCTTCCTTCTTGTCAGAAATAGAGGGATGCTCCACTTTGTTTCCAGTCTTCTTCACTTCAGTCTCATTTCCCTCCTCCTTCATTTGACATCTTTCCTGCCACTGAACTGCAGTCGGAGGCCAGGTGGAAACCCTCCCCATCACTTTTCCCATCTGTGACCTTTGACCTGACCTGTCGGTGGACCTTTGGTTGAGATTCTCAGGACTGGCTTGGTTCTGATCGGTGCTGATGCTCAGATAAGGAAGAGCGTCAGCACCGACAGAAACACACTGAGAGTTTTCCTCCATCTCGTTGCCGTCATCAGGTTGTTTCTCATTTTTCTCACTTGTGTTTTCTGCCTGATTTCCTCTCGTTGCTTCCGCTTCATTTTCCACTTTCGTCTTTGCGTCTTGTGACTGAGCCTCCGAGTCATTTTGTGCAGTCACTTGATTTTTCCCGCACACACCAAAAGGAGCGATGAAGAGAATAGCATTAGCCGACTTAGCTCTGACTCCAGTGCGCGGCCTCCTCCAGGCCTCCTCTGGGTCTGTGTTCTCAGAGCGTCCTGCAGATCCATTGTGACTCGATCTTCTCTCTGCTTCCAACTCGCTTCTCTCTTCTCTCGGACGATCGGGCGTCACAGCTTTGTTGCTGCGTTTCCTCCGGAGCTGCACCGTCAGGAAACACAGCACACACAGCGGCACACACAGGAACGCTGCAGAGGAGAGTCAGCAGAAAGAAAGTTGTTTAGTTTTTTAATAAACAGGCAAAGATGTCAAATCTTAAAAATACTTACCTATCACAAAGATGAGCGAACACACTGTATTTGTGTTGGATGATGATTCTGAAGTCGCACATTTTTCTAGAAGAAACCACAGAAACATGAAACATGAATTATTCCTGCAATGGATGAGCGATGTCTGAAGAAAGACACAAACTCACCAGTTCCTCCAGAGTGTGACGTGACAGACGGCTCCGTCTCTGATGATGCTGACGTCACATGTGTTGCTGTGGGAACAGAGACGCTTAACTAGAGACACACACGTAAGTCCATGCAGTCGTCTGAATGTGATATTTAAAATTTGAATATTTGAATCTGTATCAAAACACAAAATGTTTTTTGACAGACTCATGACAGAGTTATAGATCATATTTATCACGCAGCTGTGGCGCCATCTGTTGGTGAAAAACCATAAACAATTAAGGGTGAGAGAAGGTGCGTGTGTCTTTTTTAATTGATATTTTTGATGAATGAATTCATAATTCTTCAAAAAGTATATTGCTCCTGTTATTTTACTGACGAAGACATTAAAAGAGTCTGAACACAAACTGACTATAACTCGACTCTGAAATCTGAAACATGAAGAAGCTCGTGTACCAGACTGAGACGTTTTCAAAGCGGAGGCATCAGTGGACGTCTCCGTCTCTGATGTTGACTGTGATGCAGTTGTCAAAGGTTTTGCTTGAGGGAACAAAACAAGAGACTGATGATAATTTCGCAATAAAGATTTAGGGTTAGTTGTAATTTCCTTATAAGTTATATTTCTGACAAATGCCTGCACAACTTTTAGTTCTCATCATTATGGAATTGGAGAAAGTGTTTGTTTCATCATCATCTCTGGAGAAGCAGATGTACCGGAGGAAGTCGGCCCGTCAGTGGGTTTTGAGGATGTCGGCCCGTCAGTGGGTTTTGAGGATGTCGGCCTGTCAGTGGGTTTTGTGTGAACAGATTGTGACTCTGACGTTGATCCTGGCTCCGGTGACGTCATGCACACCGTCACGTTCCACACCGGCTGACCCCTCAGGGCGGGAGGCGTCTGGCAGGTGACCTCCATGTGTCTGTCCAGCTGAGATCTGCTCTGAAGATCTGACAACAGAAACACATTTATTCTACTTTGAAACACACAAGGTCTCGTTGTTGTTTGTCTTTATATTTCTCAAACCTTTGAGGAGAACCACAAAGTCCTCAGCTCCACAGGAACAGTCCCAGGGGTTCCTGTCCAGGCCGACCCTGGTGGACCTGAGCGACCTGAGCAGCTGCGGCGAGAGCCGAGTCATCCTGTTCTCCGACAGGTCCAACTCCGTCAGGTCGACCTGCGAGAGGAAACTGTTCGGACCCAGGGTTGTGATTCTGTTCTTGTTCAGTCTGAGCTCCGTGAGGCTGACGAGGCCGCTCAGCTGGGACTCGTTCAGGGCTCGGATGTGGTTTTCTGTCAGGCTGAGCTCTGTGAGGACATCAGGGCGGCCGAACCACCTCCAGGTCACATGGGTCAACATGTTCCTCGTCAGACTGACGCTCGTCAGGTTCAGGAAGGAACCGAAGGCCCCTTCAGCGACGGCTGTGACGCCGGCGTTGTCCATCCTGAGCCTGGTTACAGAGGTCAGGTTGTCACTGTGGAACACGGTGGAGTTGATCTCCCCAACGTCACTCACGTACATCGCCAGGGTCGAATAACCCGGACTGAAATCTGAGAGATTCAACAAGGAAACAATGATTTCTCTGTTGCAGCAGCGTCAAGCTCTGAGAACTGGTCTGATGATAAACACGTTTTTATTGAAATAAACTACAAGTTCAGTTTTTACTCTTTATTTATTTACCATTTACACGTTTATCACCTCCATTACTGAACAGACTGAAACTAAACTTGGTGGAAAGATGGAACATGAGCAAAGAAAGAAACTGTTGGATCTGAACAAACTTTCTTTAGCTTAGGAAGATTCACAGTTTCCTGCCAACATAGGAAGGTTGAGGTCTGTATTTGGAGCAATAAAAAAAACAAAAAAACATGCTTTTGATGCCATCTAGTGGTAAGGATGTTCAGTGTCACACTACACGCAATCAAATCATATCAACGTCCAACACTTAGTTTAACACTAATATCATGAAAATGAGAAAAATGTAAAAAAAAAAAGAGCCTAATTTCTAATTCGTCTTGTGTCTGTTACTTTGATCGATGTTTAATGTTTTTAGAGGATTCATGCTCCAGCTCTCACTCACACTGAAACTGGAGTGTCAACATTTTAAAAGTGTTTGAAGGAAGGAATCTAAAAATCCAACATTCAGTTAAAACACAGATATTTAAGTTTCTCTAAAAGTAAAGTGCTCGAGTTAAAGTTCCCTCACGTGCAGGGACGTTCCTGCAGATCAGAACTCGTCCTTCTGCGTCACACGAGAAGCTGAACTCCACGTTCAGCAGCAACAAAAGCAGAACAACGAGAGCTGAGGAGAGAGATCACAATGAGTGTGGACGTCAACGTGTTCTGTTCCGTTCATGAGGATGAAATCAGAAACTCTCACCTGTCATGGTGATCGGTCTCTTCAGTGCAGGATGGAGATGAAGGTCTGTGTCTTCCTGCAGGGACAGATCTCTGACTGGTGGTCTTGTGATGACCTGAACTCACCAGGTGTGACAGAGGAACCCCGTCGCTATGACAGACCGCAGATCGCCACGGTTACGAGCACCGGCGTTGATGTGTTAGAGGAGACGCTGTTCCAGTTGGTCGATGGAGTGAGAGGGGCCAGAGGAGACCACGGGACAGTTTCACACATTTAACTTTAAATATATTTTTCTTTTTTTCTGCTTAAAGATGATTCAGACAACAAAGAAGAAAATAAACTTCAGGATAAAGCGATGTGTAAAAAAATACCAACATCAGTGTGGTGTTTATAAAACATGAGCTTCACGGATGAAAAAATGAAATCAAGCCATGAGGAGAGAATAAGAGTGAGACACGAATTTCCTGGGAACTTTAAAAATATGTAATTAACCTGTTAAATACTGGGCTATTATTATTATTATAAGAGCAATGGAAACATACTTTTATCACGAGTTCTTATTATTCTTGTGTTGTGTTAAAAAAGAATTGTTGGGGAAAATAAATCTGATCATTCATGAATAAAGTCAAGAGAAATGTGTCCTCGACCTCTCAGGAGTCATTTCACTGAACGGTGCGATTTCAGTATCTTACAATCTCGTGAATATATTTGGTTTACATTGTCAACAGTATCAATTTAAGACTTTAATAAATTTAAATCTTCATGTCACATATGAAAGGTAAGAAGGAAGAGTCTGAGAATTATTTACACTTACTCATAACTGAAGAGAAGGTGAAGTAGAGAAAAACCCTGGAAACTAAAAGTTACCTCTCAAACTACAAACAGAGACACTGAGTGTTCTTGTTTGTAGTTTTATTAGTGAGCTAACGTCTGGATCACTGAGGGAGAACACACATTACAACCTGTGCACGACAACAAAACATAAACGTAATTTTAAAGCATGAATTAATTAATCTTATAAACATTAATATTTTGTAAGATAAGATTTTAAGATTTTTTATGAAGAAACACTGATAGTTTTCTTCTTTGCTTTAAGACTTACACAAACCAGTGAGATTAGTTTTAACTGATGGATGAAAATAAAAGTTTCAGTGAGAGGACGGAAATAGTGAATGTGTTAAAAGCTAAAATCTAAAATCTGTGCGGTGCCTAAAACTAGCAGAGAAAAGAAAAGAGTGAGTTTCACAAATGAATAAGAAAGAAAAACAAATCAAGTCATGAGGAAAGAACAAAAATGTGACTTTTAATCACTTGAAAATTTATTCCGTTTCAGTGCTTCCATTTTAAAATAAATAGATGGCATGGGACCAACGATTAAAATCAACAGGGATGAAAAAATACACTGGTGTAACAAAAATGGTGACCAAATGCCAATACAATCTTTTAGTTTTAACATAAAAATACACTCACATACTATTAAAGATGTACCACCCCCCCCCCGCCCCCCAAAACACCACAATGCAGCAGATGAGAAATCAAGTATTCTGTTGTTCTCAGACAGCAGTAGTATCATATCAGCTTCACATCAGAATTCAATCTTAGCGTTTGGTTTCCACTCTTTTCGGAGCGCAGTGTTTTTAATTAGTTCTTTCGCTTTTATGCCCATTTTTAAACAGGTAACGTAAAAATTCCCCCAACGACAAACGGAAAGTAAAGTGCGTGTGCGACACTTGTGGTTGATCTCGAGGCCAACGAACGGTTTGCAAAGAAGCACTTTGATTGTGTTTTTGTTTTTTTTAAAGGAGGAGGAGAAGAAGGAGAAGAGACGACGTGGCAGTGTTCGTCAAAACCTTGGAGGAATGTTCTTTAATGTCGGTACAGAACTGAACCACAGTCGAACTGGTGACACGGCAGCAGCACACACACGCTTCCCAACGGGAGTGTGTGTGTGTGTGTGTGTGTGTTTCTGTCGTGGTGGGACAGGGAGACACGTGGGGGAGGAGTGGGGGAGTTACACTGTATGAAAGAAGCCGTTGACGAGTGTTCATGAGTGCACCTTTTATACAGGACAATCCAAGAGTGCCCAGTGGAGAGAAAACACGACTAAAGCCCTAAACAACAGAGAATTCCTGTCATGATGAAAATGCATAAACATCACGTTAGAACCACATCGCTTCAAGAGGAATTCATTCA